GTACAGCACTAGAAATTCATCTCAGGCACATGGACGAGGCCATGAAGGCATTTGGGGAGGGAAGTCTGAAGAACTGTTTGATCGCGAATAACAAAGCCATCGAGCTCTTCGAGGAGGATGCTAATAATGTACGTCTACGGCACTTGTTGACATTTTGTGATCATCTGGAGTAGAGCCTCCGTCGTCAGCAGCATCAGCGGTATGCTGCTGCTTATCTCAACAGTGCTTTCGTGTTGAAGCAGTTGGGGGCCTATCAGGAGGCGAAAGAGGCTGCAGACAAAGGCCTTGCCATTCTAATGAAGAAGTACTGGTGTGAGAGGATGGTCGGAAGTTTTGTAACATGTTCAATTCAAGGTACACTATGCATAAACGGGAAATTGCGGAGACTCTGGATTTACTGGGCGAACTGTGTCAGAATCTAGAGCTCACTGAGGAGGGAAAGGCCGACGTTAGCCGATCTATTGAGCTCAAAACGGCATTGTAGTATAATTGAGATTGCTCTATTCTTGCTGTAGTGCTACATAGGTATGGGCCCAACGCCATCCAGCTAGCGGTGCCCATGAATATTCGAGGAGCACTGCAGCTCCAACAGGGCCATTTGGACAAGGCTCGTTCCGATTTTTTACGAGCGCTCACATACACGTAGGCTCGAGGGTCTAGTTCGTGTGGGGAGGATTATTATTGTTCAGAGTGAAGTACCATTCTGCTGGCAAACCCGTCCATCCCCAAATAGCTGTATGTCTGAGCAACTTGGCAGGGGTACTCCAAAAGGAGGGCAAGTAGGTCGCAAAGATCCAAATGAATCTTCATGTAGTCTTTTCACACAGACTCGATGAATGTCGCCAAATTTACACGGAAGTTGTGGAGTCAATGAGCCAGGAATTCGGTAGGACCTCCCCGGTTACCGCACAGGCCCTCTGCGATCTCGGCGCCACCTATGTAAGGTGAAGTCCAAGGCTAACTCGATGAGGTTTCTCTCTCTCTAGGTGGCGTTGAAGCATAAGAAGCTAGCCCAGTCAACATTGACCGAGGCCTTGCATGCCAGTACAGTATCGAGAGGCATAGAGCATCCTGTAACTCAGCGTGTAGTGGAATGGTTACAAGATGGTAAGTTCGTGAAGTGGAAAATGGCGAAGACTGGTGGCGTTTCAGCGGCGAAA